ATGAAAATTACAGGCCTCCCTCATCTTTTTAAGTGGGAGAACTTGCACAATTGATGGCTGACTCAATACTTATTTGCCCCACTGTACATGGTTGGCCTTCCTTTTTTGGGTGACCTTTTCTCCTGTATATTCAACAGCAGCTGAATATAAAATTGTAAACTGAGATTACTTTCAATATACATGGTAGAAAATAAACTTTTCCGATTTAAGATGTCACTCGGAACTGTCATTTTACAATTCATAATCTTGGGTTCAACAATATAGGTAGTCCTCATTTAACAATGGTAATTGGGACCGGAATTTCGATGCTAAGTGATGGAGTTGTAAAGTGTGACATCACATGACCATGCTGCTTAGTGATGGCAGTTCTGGCATTCCCTGGTTACTGTCATTAGGGGAGGACCGCATGGGTTGTTAAGTGAGGACCTCACGTGACTGCGTCTTCCAACTTCCTGCTGGCTTCCCCACTGACTATGCTTGTGGGAACTGAGCAGGGAAGGTAGAAAAACGCAGTCACGTGACCACCAGGGCGCTGCGATGGCTGGAACTTCAAGGACTGATCATAAGTACCACTTGTTCAGTACTATTACCAGTTTGAATGGTCGCTGAATGAGTAATCATTAAACAAGGTTCTCCTATAGAACATTATACTTGCATAAATTTAATAATAATAATAATAAAAATAAATTAAATTAAACTTATATGCCGCCTGACTCCCAGTGACTCTGGGCAGTTTACAATTGTTAAAAACATTTAAAAACAAAAACAAATTTACTTTTATATTAATGCCATTCATTAAAACGTGAAAGTACCAGTGGCTTGCCAGAAAAAATGTAGCAGTTAATGCTCCTCTGGTTTCTAGAATTTGTTCTTGGTCAATGCATGCCACTTTTCTCTTAGTTTGTCTGGAACTGGAGCTGAGTTGATTTCTAGTATACTGTATCAGCTTTTTAAATGTAATTTCTCTCCAGGTAAAATGGAAAAAGTCAGATGTGAAGTTTGAAGATAGATTTGACAAATATCTTGACCCATCTTTTTTTCAACACAGGGTATGCTTTTTTTTATATTTCATTATATTGAAACTTAGGTACTCAAGATGGTACCTAGTGATATTTTCCTTGGTGCTTGAGGGTTCTTTTATTTAAAAAAATAAATGAGAAGCTAACATGTTGCAAAGCACCAGCCTGAAATGAAGTATTTATTTCCATGGATGTTTGGTGGTATCAAATAGATCACAGAGGTATTTTTCATAAAATAAAAGATGGGTGGCTACAACCCAATGCTTTGTTTGGAACTGTGCCTCTTGCCCCTTCTCCTCAAAGACAAAGGTAAGATAGATGAGAGAAGGTGTTGGGGAGTAACCTCACTAGTTTGTTTAGTGGTAAATGATGTTTTGTGACTATCCATACTCACCTTGGCAACTGCTTTTTAAGATTGTTCATTATGTACTCAAAATTCCAAAAGGATAAGGGACCCCCCACCCCATCTTAAGACTTTAAAAAATGCCAAATAACTCAGGTTTACAAACAAAATTCTATATAACGACTTAACAAGTCCACTGCTGCTTAGGTCCAAAAATGTAAGGTTCAAATCATTTATAATTGATTTGAAAATTTTAAACTTGGCTAGCATTGGCAAGGTCAGCTCTGTGTCTCTGATACTACCATGTTCTTTGGTCTTGAGCCTGTCCACACAAATTCTTTCTCTGTGTCTTTCTTGACTTGGCTTGTATATGTATTCTTTCTGCCTTCATTGATCCACTCATCTCTCCTTTCCTAGGAGTGTATAATGTGATAGTATAAATATGCTAAATAAATAAATATTTACTATATAGAGATATAAAGTAAGCACTAGAATAATAGTTACTCTCAATGTCAAATTATTTGTTCAATGATTAGATCATACACGTAGATAGTTGGTATTAATTAGCATAAAATAATCCCAGGTCTAAATCTCAAACTGAATTTATCCCAGATAGACCATTAAAAAGGAAGTTGCTTTTTGTCATTCAAATGGTAGTAGTAGCTTTTTCTTCTCTACAGGATACACAGAAATTGGCTACCTTTATGTGTATCTGGATTGGTTAGGAAAAAAGTAGATTTTGCATATCCTGGTAATACTTAATGGACCATAAAATAAGGGCAAAGAAAGAATATCCTGTATTCTCATAGAATGCATAGTCCAGGAAGACATGTTCTTTTGAGACTCAGTCTCCCCAGAGCCACAAGAGCAAACTCTTTTATAGCATGGATTTTTCATATATTTTCCAAATAGAACCACCATTGGTAAGCCTTGCCAGTATAATCTGCTGGGTCCAGGGAACAGTCGCTTCTGTCCAAATTCAAGTTACTTGGAACCAATGACACATCCAATTTATGGTTCGTATTACTTATTCTTTGCTTAATATTGGTTCTGGGTGTCTCTGTAGTGCCAAAAAGATCCCTGAAGAGAAATTATTTGGCTGGAGCCCAGCTTTCAAAAGGCAACTCCAGGAAGCTCTAAGTTCCCATCAATCTATCACTGTAGAGATAGCCAACTCCAGAGAGCTTTAAGTTTAGTGTTAACCAGTAGCAAACCATCTACCAACCAACCAACCAATCATCTCTATTTTGAAAAGCAAAAGGATGGAAAAACAGTTAGGAATGTGAAAAATTGCACTTAGATTAATTTTAAAAGTATAAAATGGATTGTTACCTAAAAGAGTTGCATTAGGTGTTTAGCTTTAAAAAGTTTTATGGCTACTGGAATAAAATGGGCACCTTTGAAGAGAAGAAAAAAGCTCAGAATTATTTCATTATTATTTCATTGGGTGCTTTAGGTTACAAATGTGTCATGCTCTTTGCAGGACCCAGTACTGTGTAAAATATCTCCAGATATTTGAAACTTCAAATTTGTTCAATCTCAACCCTTTAATGTATGGTGTTGTTCAATCTTTCATTTCATGATCTCAGTTTTGAATAAAATGTCCCAGATGGCAAGGGCTATAGTGTTCATCTCAGATATACTGTATGTCTGTCCAGGAGCAGATTACTGCATCATCCTCATATAGTAAAACTGCTAGTTATTTGTCCACATTTTTAGGTGATCTTGGCCTGTAGGTTGTTCAGTTAATTGAGTTAATGTAGAGGTTAAACGGTAAAGGAACCAAAGTTCATCTTTATTTTATACCTTCCAATTTTGGAATTGTGGCACTATTAATATTTAAATACAGGATATAACAAAACACCATGTAACAAAATTCTCTTTGTCAAATAATAGCTTATCTTTATTCTCTACTCACAACAGTTCTTTTACCATATGGTCCCAGTGATTTTTACAGCATGCACCTTCTGTCTATATGGACAGAATCCACTAGATGTATTTTGCATGCAGTGGTAGGCCAGATACTGATATTTCCAAGAAAGAATGGCCTGCTGGTGCATGTTGCTCATCAGTCACTATGCCTGTGGTTTAGTGTGCCATGTAAAGCAGAGTCTGAGCAGCCAAGTGAGAAGGCAAGAACAAACATGGCTTTTGAGTCTGGTTTGTAAAATGAAGAATGGATCAAAATTGATTTTCTAGGCAGCATAGTAAGCAATGTGTATACCTACCCATAATGCTGTTCTTTTTCCAAGTAGGCAATATAATCAAAGTGCAGAAAAAGAATAAGAAGTGGTAAGCAAAAGCAGGAGATGAGAGAAAAGAAGAGGAAAACTAACTGCATATAGCTTACTTAATCTTCAGTTTCCTATTTGCCCAAAATATACCATAATTCATGCCTACTCACTTTATGATATGCTTTTGTTAAATCAATAAATTTATAGTTATTTCTTTCTTATTTTTATACATTTCTCAATATCAGGCTGAATAGCAAAAATCTGGTTTGTACATCCCTGCCTGGCATAAAGCTGCACTCATATGATTCTGGTTCCCAGATTCTGCTCATTGTCACCATTTGTACTGTATCAATCAGAATTCTGCCAGATACTTTTTCAGACACACTGAACAAATTAATCTAGTTTCTGCAGTCACTCTTGTTACTTTCCTTTGTATAAGGAAGCAGTCATGGCATTCTTCCAGTTGTCTGGCAGATGCAGTCTTCACATGGTAAGCAAGTTACACAATCAGTCTATAAGTGAACCACATCCATATTTTAAGATTTTTCCAGTTACACTGTCTACACCTACAGCCTTACTGTGTTCAACATTCTTAAGAATCAAATCAAATTAAATCAAATCAAAGCTTTATTACGGTCATAGACCAGCATAAGGTGGGTGAGGTACAATCAGTTAAAAAGCATGAGTCTAAAAAAATGTGAAAAGCTAGAAGATATATTAAAACAGAAAGTATATATAAAAAACAAGAGTCTAAAAGAATCTAAAAGGAGGGATAGGGAGCATAAAGATTAGTATGTAGAAGACTATGTCAAATTACAGAGCACTCTAGTATGGTGAACTAGATGCTCATTATGTCTAGTTTATGGCACAGATCATCATCCAACAAATTTTAACCACTGCTACACAGAACCTGGCAACATGGTATGTTGTAGCAAAGTTGGTATTTGAAAGCAGAGAGGTGTAGAATTGTTCTGTGCGCCCTGGGTATTTATGTAGTAATAAAGCTAGTAGGAATGTCTCTGTAATACTGGAGACATTACTGTAATACTGGAGAAGCACATGCTGTGTTGTTTCTGCATGACCAGAGTCACAGAGGCATTGTCTCTCTGGATAAGGAATCTTCCTGTATTGGCCTTCAAGGACAGCTGAGCGGAGAGTAAAGGCCCTCCAGTGTTTAGGTACTTTGAGTTTAGTTAAGGGGAGGCAGAGTACCTGTTGGATTCACTGGCAATAAAGGTTGGGGTCCTGGCTAGATCCAATTGGTGCTCTGTGTCTGCTATACACTGTTTAATGAGTGCTTTGGCTGGTCATATCCCATGCTGAGTAGAAGACCTGGAAAGAAGTCCAAGGATGAGATTTTAGTTGCCACTGCCTGTTTCCATGTGGATTGAAAATCTTCACTCATAGTTAATGGGCCAAGGCCAAGTGGAAAAAAGGATCGTCTGAGCCAGTAGTTGAGTATGGTCACCCACACTCTAGCCTCCACTTTCATGAGGCCTGTCTCTAATCACAGGGTGGCATTAGAGACACATTTTGGGACTTGAAGGGCTGATCTTAGAAATTTGGATTGT